CGTGTTGTGCTACTTCTGGTATTCACATTAGGCTTCTTTGTGTTCCTTTCACATCTCTCATGTTTTTCCCCAACGCTGAGTCATTAGCTTTCTCTGACGTCAAATCTACCTCTCTGTTATTTGATGTTTTTACGCCGACGAACGTCTCTTTATATACTATCGACAAGTCTTACCAGTAGAATACACCACAATGGTACTATCATGCTCTGAAGCTCACTTTCTTGATTTCTATAGTATGATGTCAAGCAGATTACACATTTTGTGACCTAAATAACCTTCGTTTCCATAGGAAACTGTGGTGAAATTTCACCTCGAAGTGTACGTGTGAATTGCGAATCATGAGTTCATTTAGAAAGAAGAGATTTAGATTATTCCGTGATATAGTTAGTAAAGTAGAGTAATCAAATAATGATGCAAAAGTTATTAGAAATTAAACGGATTAAGTATACAATCGTTAGAAAGAGATTAAATCAGTTGCACATATTACAACTCATTAACGCCAATATGGAAAGGAGACTCCTTCAACATATCCTCATAAAATGTCTCTTCACTATCATATTTACTAACCTATTTTAAATTTATTTAGGCGAGAATAAGCGCTTCTAACTTAGGTGGTATTCAGCATGGGTTCTTCCCAGAAGATTATCTGTCTCAATTCTACAGAGAGTTGAAACGACCTCAGGCAGAAGTTTGAAATTATTATTATTGGTAGTAGTAGTAGTAGTAGTATCAACTGAACAACTAACACTCGTAAATCGTTTATTCCATTTGCGCGTCAGTGGCAGCACAGCAGTAGAATGCTCGCCAACCACGCATATGGCATGCCGGGGTTCGATCCCCGGCCGACGATGCACTCCTTCACCTCACTAAGCCGGTAGTACGGCTAGTAAAGGGTGAAGGTTGGGCATGAGGGTAGCAACGTCATCCCGTAAAAATAAACACCAGTGCTACTGAAACTTCAAAGCTCTAGCTTGAAGCCCCCTATGTCCCGCTGGGAACGTAAAGGAGTTAAAAAAACATCACCATTCAGTGATCGACTATAATTCCTTAAGAAGTTAGACAAAATGACTGTTCCTGTCGCCTTCATCACTGTGTGCATTCTTAATTATTGCCTTAGTGGGTAGATAGCGGATTTTAGGTATTCTTTTACAACTTCTTTATAGTAGCCTTGAACCGTGTAAATTGCAAATAGTGAATTTGATTCAATGTATTATCGGTTCGCCAAAGTAGCTGGCCAGAATTAGGACAGTCTGAACTGATTCCCCTTTCTCGGATGACTTGAACCGAGAACATTGTTGATAAGGTCAGTTCTAAATGACTGAAACAGATGTCTGATGATCAGATCATTTTGATATGGCTAGCAAATACTACTCGTCGAGGTGAATAGTATCCAACTACTCATATCAGTTGGTTAGTAGTATACAGCGTCATTCAATTATGCCAGACTACCTTAACTTCCTTACGTGAGAGGTTTAACAAAAAATATTTTTCTAGAAATCGATAGGATATCCAACGACCAGGAAAGATCAGAAGAGAGACACTGAGGATATTTAACACTCGACTTAGTTTTGACTTCACTGCCTTTTATGGCACAAGAATTATGGGGACGAACTTTATCAATGTGTCTATGCCTGAAAGTGAAATTAACAGTCTGACGAATGGAAGGATTTACCTTGAAACCATTCGATACGCATCACTGACACACATTAGAATGAGGCAAGTTATTTAAGAATAGAAAAGAAATAAAAGAGGAAAGAACAACACCCTCAGAGGCACCAGTTACAGCAGGAAACAAAGCGGTGGAAGGATTTCCTTTACACCATACTGTACTGCTTTCTATCAGAAAAATAATACAACGATTTATCAACTAAGCATTCAACTCGTATCACAGTAAGCTTGTTTAACAAGAAAAAAGCCTAAGTACTGTTGAAAGCAGATGTGAAATCCAGGAAGGTATATTAGACTCATTTAGCACTACTGTCCAAATTCGAGACAATATTATGATGTAAGACATGTATGAATGACCAGCTAGTTGTCAGAAACTAAGCAGAAAATCAATCCATTTAAATAAAACAAAATCATACGTAATGAAATTTACAATACGTATACTATTTTGCATGACTACATAAACCACGAGGTACGGCTTACGGTGGACGAATTTCGGTCTTCCGCTCAAGATGCTGTCACTTGGCCACGCATTTATAGCTTCTGCCACCTAATTCCTATCTACTGCCTTCATGTTGCTGGGATTTTTCTCAAAAAAGTGCGAACATTTACAGTCGGACTAATGGGTATGAAGGTCTACTTAGGAGAGCTAGAAAACCATACATATGGTGTATACGAGCTCCAGAATTCGAACAATGTGAATAACCTATGGGCCTACTTTGGTTACCGTCAATAACGGAAAAATTGTTTCACTGATGTGAGGATCAGAATTCAAGTCACAGGATGGTCCCTTAAAACAACACTCAACTTCGATTTCAGAGTCCCAAAAGTATCTCAATCCTTGTACAGACTATGAGATTTTGTATAGCACATCTGTTGGAACCCATGATGTATCAAGTTTGTGTTTTCAACAATAATAATGCTACTTTATAAAGAGGTAAACTGCAGAATAAACTACAATAATGATTCAACTTTACTTCCTTTGGGTTTTTTTTCCGACTGTATTCGTTCTTCAATTTCCAAGAGAGGTGGTGGTTTTTCGCACTTGAAGGGGTTTGGTTACTAGCCTCATGTCCCAAATTTCCATTTTAAAGGGTGTTATATACCTTTAATTCTGTATTGTATACCTTTATTCTTCGCTTAGGAACCTAAAAATGTATTCTGCTGCTTTCCGCACATTGTTTATATTCCCACTCGTTACGGAGCCTCGATTGTGATTGGTTGCTTACCCTTTAAACTTATCATCGATCTCAATGATATCAAGGTAATGTAAATACTACATATATATTCAACTTCGCTTCCAAATGTTTTTGAGCTATTATTTGAGATAGTAAAAGCAATAGCTCTCACAATCGGTTCGTCTTCTATCTTATTTCGTCTGCGGGAACACTGTTGTTGTGGTGGTGGTGGTGGTTGACGTTGCAATTGCAAAAACAGTCTGCTAGGTAGTACTAGCGGTTGTAATACTGAGTTTACTAGCGGCTAAGTGAGTTATAGGAGTGCTTCAACGGGGAATCGAACTCACACTACGTGTATGTGTGCGTGTGGTTCGCTAGCATTGTAACACTAAACCACCCACGCATATGGTTTAACTAATCAACTTTTTATTATTCACATTATTTTTATCACTGTTACTGTTTTTACTATGACCTTTACAAATGAGTAATAAAATCTAACCATCACGACAACAAGTGATACATAAACTGATACATTTAATGTAACAACTTTTTTCTCTCTCTCCCACTCTTTCTTCACAGTAACAAAAAACGAAGACAGCAATGTTTTAAACAAATCAAAAACAATGATCAGTGATCAGTTATTAATAAAGAGTAATTAGAGTCAAGTTTTACATGGAGTGGATTTTTCTTAAATGTAAAGCGTCATGTGTATAGGCTTTAGATACTGTAAGGTACCGGTGGTGTCGGTGATACATTACACTATACTAGCCGTACTAAGCTCGTTGTGGTCAATTATTCACTTAATTCAGTGCCCTAGTTGACTTGCACGTACTGATAACACACCACAAATCAAGAAGATTCAGTTATTTGACTATGTGCTCCGATGAGCAGTATATTTATAAATAGAATAAAATACAAGGATTATTTGTGAAAAAGATCAAGCTACTACGGCTAAAGTGCAGACTTTGAAAAAGTACGTGTTAACAGCACAAAGGAAGAGAGTAAAGTGGAATCTGAGCATAATTCAGTGCGTATCCGTTAAAACAAACATACAACTAAGACACGATATAATGGCCAATCAATTCCAAACCTTTACCAATTCATGATTTTATCGTGACCACTAGCCAATTAATATCATCGGCGAGTATTTTTCCCCACAGCCAACCTGGTCGGCTCCACTGGTCACGACTTCTGATTAGAACTCCAAGCAACATCGTTCTGTGGCCGGTCACTGACAAGAATCAGATCAGTATTCGTCAGTTAATTGGCAGGGATTTGATTTGTTTCAGTTTTTATCATGGATTGATCTCAGTTAGAGAATCACTGGAAAACTAGGGAGCACTGGATAGCTGTTTTGTCGTAGTTTGACCTTTTCATGAACCCACACCCATTGGGGTTCGAAGTTTCTTGGAGTTCCAGTGAAAAGTCGTGACCATCGGGGTCCGCTGCATTGGGAGTGAGTACTAATAGTCACCAATAACAGTGAATGGAGACGGCGCTAAAAATAGCGAATAGACAGGAGCTACAACCTATGGGCTACTGGATATCGTCCCCCCAGTGGCTGGACGAGCTCATCTTATAACCCGAAGTGTTTGACCCCAAGTGGCATCATGGTGCGTATCGATGAAGAGTCTCAAACTAGGAAGAAGCAACTGCCCAGTACTTTCTGGTCTCCCAGTGGTTCTGTAACCAACATCAATCTGTGATCAAACCTGAAATAAATCAAATCTCTACAAACCAACTCATGAAATTTAATTCAATTTTAGATTTTCCCGTCGATTGATTGGACCGAAATGCTCGGTCTCAGGTTGACATGTCGGCTTCTTGTGCAGATGCTTCGACGATGTCTAGGCATGGAAAAGTTAAAACATCGAAAGCATACACAGTCGGGTTAGACGTTTATTTATTTAAAAGTTAGGTTGATCTGTTCTGACCTATCTGCCTTGTCCCCAGATTCATTTTGCTTCTGTACATGGTGCACTACAATACTACCACACAGTTGTCTCCATTGAAGTAGGTAGTAGAAGGGATTCAAATTAGGGAACCACTGACTGGATTGAAAGTTGCTGTATACTCAAACCAATGCATCACAGTTCCAAAGTGTATAAAACAACAATAAATTGAAAAGAGGAGGGTTTAAATAAATAGACGACTTACTTAATTCAGCTAGTACAACACCAGATGCAGGTGGTGCTGGCCAATCATAACGTTCAATTGGTGCTGGCAAACTTTTATCTCTTTCTTGTCCAGCTGGTAAACAAGCCAGCTTACGTGTTTCTAAGGTTATATCATGATCATTTAATGAGATGGGACCAGAACAACTTATATCGTCTATATGTGAATTTCGTGTATTACCAGCTCCTGTAGGCGTTGTTGACGCTTTGAGCTGTCCATTAACAGTTGTACTAGATAAAATTTTTGTCTTTTTCGATTGTGGTGTAACCATTATTCCTGTAGTGGTTGATTTGTCGCTTTGTGTTTTATGATTATTATTATTATCACTTAAATTAATAGCTGAGGAAGCAATTGGCTTATTTAATGAACGTGATGTAATAATTACACTGTTATTATTAGCATTAGCATTTGTGTTGAGATTATTTGAACGTGGTGTACTTGTTATATTGTAGGATGGTAGGACACCACTCATAGAACGACCAAATAATGTTGTATGCAATTTTGTACCAGGTGGTAGATAACGACTTTTACCACCTAGAAAAATAAGAAATAAACATAGTATATATATATATATATATATATATATATATATTCAACTATCCTAAAATGGGGATAATTGCGGGCTCAACTGTTATCTAGATGAAGGATTTTTGTAGGAGGATTTAGATCTATTTCAATGAAGATTTCGTTACGAACCAACCATATCAAGTTAGAGAATAGTAAGTGTCATCGACGTACTTTTTGTATAGAGAGAAATTGTCGATTGCCGGTTTCAATAGACCATTTTCCAAACTTGCCATGAAAATATCTTCAAGTAACGAACCTGAAGGTGAACTCATAGCCACACCATCTTGCTGTCTATAAATAGTGCTAGCAAATGTGAACTGAACGTTAAAAGTGCATCTAGTTAGAAGTTCTTTTAACTTAGGTGTAGGTATTCCGATAGTCAAGTCGTTGTCTTCCAATTATTTGTATAAATAACTGCAGTTGTTGGAACCAACCATTGACAACTTTTCTCTGTACAAAAGAGTTAGAGAATCACTGGAAAACGGAGTGGACTCATCAACAGTGCACACCCACAACCCTATACCCAGATATCGAACCCGGAACCTTCAGGTTCACCTAGGTGAAGGTGAAGTGGACCCTCACCCAAGGCGCTGTTTGCAGATAAGCCTATATCATAAATTAAAATGAGTCAGAATTCACGGATAACTGAAATCTAGTCCAAGTAGCTAAGTGGTCAACGAGTTTGGCCTAGTAACCTAAAGGTAGTGGGTTCTTTCTTTGACGGTGAGGTCCTCGGTGTACACTTCTGAAGAACTTATGATCTACAACTGGTTAATTTGTGACAATATATATATATATTGAAACCAATTATTACCAATATTTTGTATTTATTATTTTTCTATTTTAGTACATTTTGGTATGATATTTGACAAAATCATTTTCTTAACTAACCTTTAGTTTACTCTGTTCACTTGTTACACAATATGTCTATTTTGACACTTGTATCTATGCTGTTTCGACTGAAACCCACTTTTTTTTAAAAAAAACTTATACATCTTTTCCGTATTACGTAACATTCAGTCTACAGTTGTTAACCTTCACTTCGTTATAATATGATTAATCTTCACTTTTTCTGAAATATTTTGATGATGTAAACAAACTACCCAAAATATCAGATTTTTATTTATATTTTTATTATGGATACATTTGACAGACTCAGTGTAAACATGTATGCATAATTACGACTCTAAAGCTGTGGAAATGAATTCTTTGAAAAGAATGTCTTCATCGAACTGTCAGTGCTTATTTCCATGGCTAGATAGTTAATATCTGTCACGTAGGAGTAAATGATACTATTCGAATTCTTGAAAATCCCCATTGAGTCATATGAAAAAGAGAAGACGTTCAGCAAAGAGACTCTTTTCGCCGGCGAATTCATTCACATAGCTGTACAATCGCATTTATATATAATTATTTGTGTGTGTGTGTGTACATGAGGTTTGTCAAATTTAGATGATTGATCAGGTAATACAAGAATGATCTAATATAGAAACAAGGTTGATCAGACAGCAACTAAAGTAAGATTGAGTTGGTAAGTTAGATAACGTAATATAATTGACTAAGATGCTTCCTTCAACTTGGGTCAGGGTAGCAACAGAGGCAATTACAGGTAGAGACTAAGTAGAAGTGGAGTATATAATAATGGCATTTAAATTAGAACTGATATCGAGCAAATAAGTTGGATGACGTAACATAAATGACTAGAAATTGAGTATTGGTCAAGTCAGTAACAGTGGTAATGAGGTGTAGAAATTAAATCGGGTGTGGGTAGAGAAAAAGTAATTTGAAAATGTAAAATATTACAGTTGAGAAGACAAAATAATACTAATGAAGAGACAGAAAAAAGAGATTAGGTAGAATTTACTTGTCGGGTAAGAAGATAGATTAAGTCCATTGCAAGTGTAGTGATTGGATAAACTTCTGTATGCAAAGTTCAGGACTTAGCAAGTGAATCGCCACTGCTTCTGCAGTTTGAAGAAGGCTGATTCGTACACCTTTAGGAAGACTACTTCTTACTGTGTAGACGACTATGAAGTTTGTTTGCGGTGTAGCTTGGTGTCCGGATTGTATCAGATGTTCTAAGATTGAGCTGCGGGAGCTTCGTTTTTCTCCTCTGTAAAGCCATGTTGATAAGTGTTCGGTGATACGCTTGGAAAGCGAACGCTGGCTCCACACGAGCAGGTGAATTGATAAATAGACATTGATGAGGCCAGCAGTGATAGATTATCCTTCACTTTCACATGAACCATTGGTTTTGTGTATTACCTGATCAATTATCTAAACTTGACAAACTTCATGTGCACACACACACAAATAATTATATATAAATGCGATTGTACAGCTATGTGAATGAATTCGCCGGCGAAAAGAGTCTTTTTGCTGAACGTCTTCTCTTTTTCATACTCGAATTATGCTAAGTTTTCTGTTGAACAGATAACAGCCTATTCACTAGTGCATTATATTGAGTATATCAAGGTTTGATGATGATCGAGAGCACATAGCGAACCTAAGTTTTATTATGACTGATATTCGTCAGCAAGAATCACATGCAACATTGAAAAAGCTGACAATCTCTTTGAAATGACTTCTTGTAAAACTGTAACGGGTACATTGGTTCTTTATTGGGGAAGGAACCATTTTTATGCTGTCCAGTTCCCAATATTACCGCCAATGGAATTCCATTAGTCTAGGGCTTCCTGTGGAATGATCCTCCAACCCTAAAATATTATTTCAAAGCGTGCTATGATGATGGTGACTGTACTGGTTTGCTCACCATTATGGTGAACTTCATCGATAGAATCCAGATTTATGGATGACGAATAAAAATTCATTCACAAGTATTAGATTTGTAGGGATTGTGTTTGATTGCTTGGAGGGTTGCATCGTGAGCTGATATCAGTTAGAGAACCGTTGGAAAACTAGCTGGCAGTATTGAACAGCTGTTTCATCCAAGAATTCACGGGCCATTGGATCGGGTCCCAGTGGCCTAATGGTTTACAAGTTCGCCTTGTAACCAGAAGGTCCTGGGTTCAAATCCTGGCGGGTGCATACTGATGAAAAGTCGCAAACTGGTGCGGACAAAACAGTACTTCCAGCTAGTTTTCCAATGGTTCTCTAACTGATGTCAGCTGATGATGAAACCTTCCAGCTGAAAATTTATTCATCGCTTAAGCCTCTAGAAAATGATAATCTATTTAAAACAGTAGACAAAATAAATCATCAAGGGTATAGAATATTTGAATTACTTATAAGATAGACAGACTAACATAAGAGATTGGTAAACAATAGAGGACTAGAATTTCTCCATATCATTTGTTGCTCAAACTAAACGAATCCATGTATATCACTTCTGAATAAATGATCAATCTTTGAAACTTAGTAGGTAAGCCTAGTAGGAAAGCCTCAAGCTAGAGATTATGCAACATTGAGACACTTTTCTTTCACAACTAACAAACTCTTGATAAAAACAGATCGATATTATGCTTTATACTGAAGGAAGTACATCCGTGGTTCCATGGTAAACTGCTTACCAGTCACCCACATGGTCCTATTTCGATCTTTCGGCCGATGCACTCTTAAACACCGCCCACGCAGTGGTAATTCCCATTGAAATAGGGAAGGCTGTGTATGCGGCTACCAACCTTACCTAGTAAAAATGCACCACCGTTACTAAAACTTCAAAGTTCAGAGCTTGAAGGCCCTATGTTCCACTCGGGACCCAAAGGAATGAAATAAAATAGTGAAGGCAGCTAGGTGAACAAAGAGACTATTAACTAGATCAAAATATTCTAGGATCTATAGAACAATACAAGTACAAAGAAACCAATAGTCAACTATTCGACAAGTCCCACATTTATCAGATGAACAAAACGATAGTTTAAGTTCACTGACATTTAAAAAAACAAAACCTGTTCCACACGAGTAATGATTTCTATAAGCCACAGAGAGGTAATTCAACAAGCTATCGAGAAGTTCAAATATGATTCACAATATCAAAGAAAATCAAAATGCCCGCATCTCATATATATATATATATATATATATATATATATATATATATATATATATATATATATATATATATATGAGCTGTACTCATCGGCTCACACATAAATATTTGCCAATTTAAAAGGTTTTAAGCAAATTTCAAATAAACAAAAACGCTATTGTCATCATTTCAAAATAAGAAGAGAAAAAACAACCCGAAAGGGTAGATTTTGACCAAAATGTAAAACATCTCAGCTTTTTTTATGCAGTAGTCAATAATTTCATCTGATAATTACAAGAGCTAACATTGATTAGTAACTACACAGGAGGAACCAGTGTCTTTATGCCTTTTATTCTAAGTATTACTGTTGGCTGAGAATTCTACCAGTTAGTTAATGAAAATGTTGCCAACCAGCTAGGAAAATGGCTATCACACTGATGTTTGAAATGATGCCTGGTGCCTGAATGAGCATTCCGTAGGAAGCTTTCACCTGACAAAATTGAATCTTGGGCAATAGTAACGACTAGACATATAACTAATCTATTTTAAGTGTCACCTCGCAGGGATTCGATTGGCTCCAAGATTAATCACTAACTAACTTTAGTAAAAGTAGCATTGAAAACCATGGGGCACTGGACAACAGCTTTGTCCTCTCATTGGAATCTTCAGCGTCATGTAACCATGATCTCACTACGAGGGATGGAGCCCAAGATCTAAAGGCTGACCATTCAGTTTCACTAGGACTGAATTCAATTCGTGATCAAACTTGGAAACAATCAAATCCCTGAAGACCAACATTTGAAAATTAATCCAGTGCTTACTAGTAACTGATTACAGGATCAAGTTGCTTGAGTTCTATCAGGAACTTATGATTGTAACTAGGGGTCCACCAATACTAAGCGATAACATTGGCTGGACTTCGTACTAGCTACTACAAGTCCATAGAGGTTAAAGTAGTCCGGAGAGTAACGGATTATGTCCCAATGGCTCAATGGCAAATGAGCTCGCTCTGTTATCTGAAGGTCGAGGATTCCATCCCCTTGACTGAAGTCAGTTCGCGCCCAAACTTGACACTCGTGCATTTTTTTATGATGATTTTAATGAAGGTTAGAGTCATAAGTCTGAATAACTGAACGATTATGTCTTTAATTTTAACACAGGATGACTGGGATTCAGATCCCCAAGGGAACATCATTTCCTTCAGCATTTCAGATGCATCTTGCTGATGAGCCCAAGTAGGCACGACTGGGATTGCTTGCCTACTCTCTCCAATTGACTAACACCAACTGAATTAAAAATCCAAGTAACTGAGGTAGAATTTAAGCCTATATATAAACAGCGAGTCAATAACTGAATGCCTAAGTCAACGAACCATACACATTTATAACTTCAGTCTTACCAAGAAAACGATAAGGCATGAATATATGCCTAGTTAGGGAAAAACAGCGTAAGACTGATGCCATACTGAAAGAAAACTCCAACCTAAAAATACGTTAATCTAATTTCTAGAATATACACGAAACTTCAATGATTGTCATTTTACGAAAACAAAAAAAATAAAACAAGTGTTGGTTTGTAGGGATTTTATTGATTGGTTACAGGATTTCATCATGGGCTGACATTGGTTAAAGAACTATTGGAAAACTAGCTGGGTGTACTGGACAGCTGTTTCGTCCGCACTAGTTTGGGACTCTTCATCAGTACGTACCCACCGGGGTTCGAACCCAGGACCTTCTGGTTACAAGGCGAGCTTATAGACAATTAAGCCACTGGGACCCAAACTAAGACGAAACAACTGTCCAGTACTCCCAGCTAGTTTTCCAATGGTTCTCTGACTGATGTTAGCTCATGATGAAATCCTGTAATCAATCAAATCCCTACAAACCAACACTTGAATATCGATGAGATGGTCACCAGCGACTTGCTTCTTTCAGGTAGGTAGTAGCTACCTGGGATTCTAGTGAGAAGTCGTGACCAGTAGGGTAGAGCAGGTAGGGTGTGAGGGCAAGTACTCGCCGAAGACATTGGTTAGCGGTTGCGCTATGTCGTGAATTGGCAGAAGTTAGAATTCATGGACTGGCCATTGGATCGGGTCCCAGTGGCTTAATAATGGTCTACGAGCTCGCTAGCCTTGTAGCCAGAAGTTCCTGGGTTCAAACCCCGGTGACGGATGCGTACTGTTGAACAGTCCCAAACTAGTGCGGACGAAACAGCTGTCCAGTACTCCCTGCAGGTTTTCCAATAGTTCTTTAACCAATGTCAGCTCACGGAAAAAATAAAACAGTTTACTTATGATAGATAGTATTAATCTGTTTTCTAGGAAAGAGTACACTAACGAAGAAATTCGATAAACTATACAATAAAAAATCGAAGGACAATTTTAAAAATAACACAGTAAGTAGGCAAACAAAAACTACGATAATCGACAAAAAACAGCAGTAAAGCCGTATTGGTAATAACACAACAACAACAACAACAACGCACAAATGGTATTTAATCTACGAATAAAAATCACCCGGTAAACAACATAAAAGCAATAATAACAATAATAATAATAACAAGGACAAGGTAAAATTCCTAAAATAAGTCGATCTGCCAATTTTTATTTACCACCACCTTTTTAGGAGAGTTAATATTTTTGCCTAAAAAAAAAATATATTGATTCCCTCATTTTTGGCCTTAAAACAGAAAAAGAATTTAGCGTATTCACAAAGGATTATATTGATCAAAGAGAGAGAGTTAAGGTAAGGTTAAGAATTATTTTGGTATAACAAACAACATTATAGTCAACAACTAAACTCTTCTTGACATCTCAACTGGAGGATTACTTTAAAGTAAGAAGGCGAGAGGGAGATAGAGTGCAGTGAACAGCTGTTTCGTCCAAATTGAAGACTCTTCTAGAACTGTAGGCAGAACCTGTGTATCTGGTCGTTTACGAGCCAAGTACGTTGGTTGCTAGATTTCAAATAAAAGTCAAGTTCTTGTGTTTCAAAGAAATTTCTACAGAAAGCGCCTTCTTGAATCTCTATGACATGATACCCACTGTTTTTATACGCTTAACAACAAAACTTGAATTGGGTAACATTTCTTTTTTACAAGATTTTACGTCAGTCAGGTTTTCCATCTATCATCTATCTATGATAATAGCTATATAGTTTTTACAGGACTTCAGGTGAACATAGAGAAGACAGAGGTGATAAAGACACCTAATAAAATAGTTACAACAGGCATCATTCACTATCCATAAGAGAAATCCAGAGGAAATTATCCTCTTTCACTTATCTAGACAGTATCATTTCAACTACAGGAGGCAAAAATGAGAATGTTGACGCCACAACCGGAAAAGCAAAAGAGGCATATTCAGCAATTTGAAATCAGGAATGAGATTCGGATTTTCAATACTAATGTGCTTCAGAGACTTGGTAAGTGCGTCAATACAAGTACTTACAACAGGCTACTGCGTATTGTCATCAACAGCTGACTTTATTGGCTTGACACCAAAAACAGATCACCGGACTAGGAACGATAAGGAGCTCTGGCAAATAACCTACTAACAGCATATTACCCAACAAATATGCGGAAAGAAATGGAGATGGATTGCACGCACGCTAATGAGGAGACCGTTGACTGATATATATTATACAGCAGACCTTCAAGTGAAAAGATCATTTGGGCATAGACCCGAAGACGACATGCAAGGGACCATGTGGAGAGGAAATGAAAGTTTATAGGCAGTCGTGAAGTCAGCCAATACAGACTGAAGAGAACAGAGTGAGATGGTGATAGCCTTAAAATCAATTGAAAAACTACACCATGATGAAGAGTCTTCTAGATCGAAGACTTTATTTCCAACTTACTGAAAAGTAGACGGATGATATTTGTTTATTCGCCAGTGAGCAATCGATATACATATCTATCAGTGCTAATCACCTTTATTATAAACTAATCGTATTAACTGATTGTAATACATTATTGGGATTTTTTAAAAATCTTTGTATCTTGAAATAAAATCCACTAATATAATACAGATTGACAGATTAGACGAAAAGATAGACTCTCAGTATACTACACATAATCACCCTGTGTAAGGTAAATTAGTTGAATTGCATTATGAAGTAAGTTGTAAGTTGAATGGGTAAATGCTAATCGACTGGTGACAATGTATACACTGAGAAAATTACTTCCCGTCTGAAAAATAAAATAAAGACGTATTTCCATCGACTCAACTTCTGGGATTGTAAGGGATTCGATGACGACTACCCAATGATATTATAAGATTGTTAAAAAGGACTATACCAGAAATCAATAAAGCTTTGAATAAAAACAAATTACAATGAATTATATAACTAACTTACCTTCAGGTAAATGAAATTGTCTTGGTTGTGAATAATTATTTAGCGCTGTAGATGAAATATTACGTTTATATCTATCATTATTAGGTACAGGAACTTGATTAGTTAAATGTATATATGATTGATTTAAATATCGACCATAGTTAGAGGTAGGAATTCGTCCACATGAACTCTATGTAGAGAGAAAGATAGAGAAAGAGTGAGTGAGTTAGTGAGTGAGTGAGTGAGTGAGTGAGTGAGGGAGGGAGGGAGTAATATAAGAATACAGTGGTATGATGAGAATAATTTTCTTATTAATTCTTAATTTACTAATGAAAAGATTCAATTCAGGATATTTCAGTGATGCTCATGCAGAATAACATCCGAAAGACATTTACATCACAAGTCGATAGTTTCTTGGTTAATTAGGGGAGAAAGTAACCAAGTAGTGATACAGAATCTAGTTCTTGTGTTCCAGGAGGCTGGTTCTCCTTAAAACGAATGTTTGGTTAAGTAGTTAATGGGTGTATCATTAGTCTAGGCACTCAATCTCCAACCAGTGGGTTATGGGTTCTAACCCCACTGCACCTATCAAGGTTTGACCAGCCAGATAACATCACTAGCTCTCAGACACAAAAGGCGTGGCTTATTGCCAACTGCATGAAATTGCAGTTGAATTTGGAAACGATGAAGACATATTTACTTTTGTCAGTGTTACCACCACAACTACTGCTTACAACGAGCTGAAGAGAGTTAGGGTTTACGCAGATAGTATATGATCAGTCAATCCGTTGTCGTAATACTTTATCCTTCGACTTATGAGACACAGATGTAATGCGGATGATTAGCCTACAATTATCTGTTCAATATTATCACTGAAGTTAACCAAACGTGTCACTTCCAACAAACTGGGATTGATTATCGACTGTCTGTTTGTTTTTGCCAAGTGGACAATTAGAAAACACTCATTTTCACAACAGTGGATGCAGTAAAATGAAAAACCTGATTAGCAGTTAGGTGCTGTAGATCACACAGTAGGAAAATTAGAAAATCACACAAGGTATAAGTATGAATAATGAGGAAGATTAAATAATGTCGTGCATCTTTTTATTGATTGAATTTTTATTCATACTATGGGTAGTATATCTTTTCCTATATAATCAGATATATTCTGAATTAGATAATCTGTAAAACATGAGTGTTTATTACAATCTATATACCAATAAATAATTCTCATTCTTCTTATATAAGCTTATATTCAAAACTGTTTAGATGTAATATCGGGTTTTTGGTGGCTAGTAGTAGAAACTCAGACGGAAGTTTCGCCTTATTTGGAACTCGTCATCCGGATGTACCTGAGTCTCAAGTGAGTGAGTATCCCCTCTTAGGTCCGAACCCACCATACTCATCCTTTCATCAAATGCCAAGGTGTTATCCATTAGGTCACTTGGGCCACGACAGCCCCCTGTTGTGCTAAAGGCATCAGTTATTTTTTGTTTAAATTGAACTTGCATTTCCCCTTGGCATGTTTGCTCCAAGTACAGACTGTTCCATGATGTCAGAGGATTAACATGGCGTTATTTGGTTGGTGGTGGCTAGCAGAAGAATCTAAGACGACTGTTTCGACGGATTCGAGACTCATCAACATGATGTACCTATGTTAAAAATGGGCGATTATGTTCCTACTGAGATTCCAATCCAGTCCCATATTGTTGAAAACAGTAAAGAATTATCCTCTAAGCCACTGGGGAACAAAAACCATTTACGACCTGCCAAAAAGCGTTGATATAAATACGATAAACAAGTGGAAAACCAACTCTTAGACATTGAAGACACATTCATCATCATGCATACTTAAACATTTCAAAACTGAGTAATTCTTATTATTCGAACACCACATGACAATTAGTAAAGACATCTATTTTGTACTGGATTTTAGATTTGGTGAAAAAACAACTTTATCTCTCCCTCACTATATATATATATTACGAAACAAATAATTGAAAATAAACAGTGAGAAAGAATTACAAAATCATGAAATCTACATAATATTTTTTGAGCACTCAACTCAGAAACAATTCTGACACAACTTCGGGAATAAGATTACTTATCACAACAATTTATCTTATTTTAAGAGTTAGGACTTTGGTTGGTTTCAAATTTGATTATGTACTAATATCAGTTAGAGAAACATTGAAAACCAAGCGAGTACCAGACAACTATTTTGTACTAGTTTGAAAGATTTCAGTAGTACGCACCACGATCCCACTCGGGGTCAAATCCTACGGGTTATGAGGCGAGCCCACTGACCATCCAGCCACTGGAACGGAGTCCATTGGCCCATCAATTGTAACTCTTGTTCACTCACGATATTTAGCGTCATTGTCAGTCAGTGTTACTGGCGAGTATTTGTCCTCACGCTCGACGTGATGGACTCCACTGGTCATGACTTCTCAACTAGAAATTCAGGCGACTTTGTTTTGCAGTTGGTCACTGATGTCTAACCTAAAGGTCCTGGGTTCGACCTCCAGCAGGGTTATAGGTACCTACTGATGAAGAATCCCAAGCTGGGACGAAATGTTCGCCCAGTTCTCCTTGGTTTTCTGTACTTCCCCAACCGACATCGATCTGTCATATAAACTGAAATCAATTCATCTCTTTGTTTTGAAAAGAACAAGGGGAGACGGTAATGTATTCAGATTTCAGTCGTTTAGATAACAGAAATAAAATTTGTGTTCAGCAAACTATATCACAACATTATTACTTACATAACTGGTAGGAAAAGTGATCTAAGTTCACAAAATACTACAAGGGGCGTAAATCTGTTAAAGAGAACAATATCAGTAGATTAAGTCCTTGCCATTTGTTAATCACAATACTGCATTTTCAAGGAGCTTTTCTCATGCCTGCTACGTCGTTTCAAAAGAATCTCTTACTTCCCCTTTTTGCGACTTAATCTTTCGCTCCACCGGTCAAAATTCCTGTAGGAGATATCATGTGCAATATACTACTTATAGATTCTTGTCAGTAGCACATGCCACAGTATTAACGGAAAAAATTTCGGGATTTTCAAACCAATTTTGTCTACTTCACTTATTACCAAAAGTAGGATACATAGGATCAATATGCAGCTATGCGAACTAGTTGACAGTGGAGGTATGAATTCCCTAATTGAGCATCACATTACATTGGAGTTACGGAAACTAAAGAATAGACACCACAATCAAACGACCTTGAATCAACCAATCAGATAGCAATGGAGATTATGAAGAGCACCCATTTGCAGCGCCGAGCGATCTGATTGGTTGCAGAATTTACCTCGACTAATAAAGAATGAAAATATAAATTAAGAAACAAGACACGTCTCCCTCACTCCAGTTGTTTTCTTTCAGCTCAAAAAATTTCTTTCTGTTGAATTAAAGTTGTTCAACTTAGTTAACAGCATAATTTGTATGAAGTCATTCATATTTATGTCAACAACAACAACAAAAAAAGGAGAAAAAATGAAATAATAATAGTAGTAATCATAATCTCAAAACATACTTGTCTAGACAAATGAAAGGATAGAGTGTTCAACTTTTCTTTGTTAACATCAATTTTCTCCTGATCAGAATAACCATTAGAAAAATGCCTTGATTTCGATTCATCTAAATTGTTTGACTGGAAAAAAGAAAATTATACAATGAACCGAAATACATTGAAAAACAAAATAGTATATATGTAAGATAAAAATAATTGGTATTTGATTTCAATGTACATTTCATCGTGAACCAACACAACAGCCAGTTTGAGAATCATTGAAACAAAACAGGATGCCTAGTAGACAGCTGTTTCGTCCTAGTTTCAGATAACTCTTCATCTGGATCTGATCAACGGAGCTTGGCCTGATAACATGAAGGTTCCAAGTTTAATTCCTGATGGTGTGGGGTGGGGGATAGTTATGACTGTGAAGTGTTCAAGAGTCACTCCCAAACTATATCAAAGCAGCTATCTGGTATGCTGCCTATTGGTTTTCAATGATTCTCTAGCTGGCTGGTGTTGGTTCGTGGGTAAATCTACCTTGGAATTAATCCATAATGTCAATATTAGTATTTTAATTTTTTTTTCCTTCACATTCCCTAGTGGAACATAGGGCTTCAAGCTAGTGGCTTGAAGTTTCTGTAGCAGTGTTTATTTATTTTACAGGATGAGGTTGCTAGCTTCATGCCCAACCTTTCCTCTTTATCGGCTTTTTATGACTGGTTTGGCGAGTTGAAGGAGTGCGTCGGTCAGGGATTGAACCCCGGACCATGTGCATGGTCGGCGAGCGTCCTAACCGCTATGCCACCGACGCACAAGTATTTTAATTAAGGAATAAAAATAATAATAACGATCATAATCCATGGTAATAGTGTAGATTATTCATGATACACAACTGATAGTCTGGATGATTATTATACGTTGGTTTTCAGGAGAACCGGACACTCTCATCCCGGCTTTTTTCCTCGACCACAAAGGCATACAGTATCATCCTGCGACAGCCAGTAATGTTAATCAGCTTTATAAAAGCTTAATAGTAATTTTCAGTTGTGTAAAACAACGTCTTATTTAGCTGAGTATCAGTAAAGTAGTTTCTATCAAATGCACAAAGTAGACAGAAGTTTAGATGGCGAGCAGTTAACATACACACCGTAAGAGATTTGATTATATTAACTATATACATTATAATCTATTTCATTTTAGCACTCCAGGTATGTTTATGCTAATCATGGGGATATCGCTCGCTGGTTAAAGTTCTGGGCTTCAGTCTGAGTAACTGGATGATTTCGCTAACTCTTACACAATATTGTGCCCATAGTTCGATAGTAGAATGCCCGCCCACTACGTATGTCATTTGTGTTTGATTAACGACCAACGTACTCCCGGAAAAGAGCAGAAGTTGACGGTGAGACTATCAACTTCATCCCGTAAAACAAAATATCACCACTACAACCACCACTAAAAACTTCAAGGCTAAAGCCTGAGGCCTTATGTTCTAACCAGAAGACAAGGAATGAAATAACAGTCTATTACATGGAAAATCTATTTCGGCTGACTGAGTTCAAGCAACATCGAAAAACAATGGAAACTCATGATACGAATAGGTTAAAATAGAATTCTATTGTTTAGGTGAATCATCAGTAAAACAAAAGCCTTTATCATGCTGTTGTATGAAGATATGTTGAATGGTCTAGAAAAATGAAGCTTAATCATTGGTATACTAGCACTTGAATGTAAACACATAAAAAAGTGAGATATGGTTAGAGTATTGAAAAGTACTGTAGGTAGGTAGAAAAGTAGAAAGGCCATTGACTAAATCCTCGTTCATTGAATCATAACACGTAGGCGGAATCCAGATATATACAGAATTGAATCAAAAAACAGAAGAAACTTGTCTCACTGTTATCACTGGAATATTATCCAGTTATTAATAGTTTATCCCTATGTGTTACATCAAATAAACCTATCTAATATGGATTCGTATTCTACTAAAGTGCCTAAATTTTACTGTTTTCTTCGTCTCTTGCTTTACGAGTAGGGCAATGGGCTTCAGCTTCGAGGTCTTGAAATTCCACTAGCCTCGGTATTGTTAGTGTTTACGAGGTGAGGTAGCTAGTCTTATGCCCAACTTTCCTTCTCTACTGAACTCACTACGAGTTAAATGAGATTCGGGAGTTTGACGGCTGGGAATTGAAATCCAGACCACATGTATGGTTGGCGGGTATTCTAACGATGAACCACTGAGGCACGTATTTTACTGATACATTGAAGATATAGGTCACTTAGTGAAGATTTGTTTTGCTTCGAGTTACTGAAAAGATTTTTACACTTATAGACGCTAGTGTTCAGTGGAGTGCCTCTTACAAAATATTTAACCATGAACTCTAAATGGGTGGAATCAAAACGACATAAGTAACCATATTTTATACTCCATGAAAAAACTTCATAAAGTGATCTATATAAAACCATGAAAAACTGGAAAAATTGACATCAGTATAAATCACTTACATCACACAAACGTTCTCCTAACCCTGAATCTGTGCCTAAAATTTAAAATTAGTATTATAAGCAAATATGATTTACTCAGATATCCCCTTTCCTTGGAGGCACGAAGACCGTTTTTCTCTACAACAGCAGGTTTTCGTAAAATAGATCTTGATTTTTGAGGAAGTCCAGTTGAGGGAATGCATGAATAATTATTCTGTGGTTGTTTTGATTCAGAGGCTTGTTCGTGAATGTATTGTGGAGATGCCATATCACTAGCACTGACACATCCTTCATCATCTGTGACAGATAAAGGCGACTGGAAACTGCTCTTTTTAATATCACTACCAATACTTGAAGAAAAGCAAACTTCATCAATACAACGTGGACAATAGAATTTCTCCTGCCAAACAGTAACACGATCACCAGGACAGAATGCCACACTGTGATTTAAAAAAGTAATAAGTGAACAGGTAATTCCAAGGAAAAGCGTTTTACTAATATCGAAAACAAAAATCATATATTCGGACTATCAGGATAATCAAAACAACAAAACTTCGTGTATACAGCAGGTTGAAATTAATGTGACACTACTCAAAACATGCACATGTCATTTACGGGTGAATATAAGTAAATTTATAAGCAGGAACCGATTATATATGTATATGTGAAAGAAACACTGATAAAACTACTCAGTCGCAAGGCATGCCTTGAACTCAAGACATCTATCATTTAATGCCAGTAAGATATTACAGAAGAGCTTCCATTTTTTATAAATATATAGAAGCCCCTTGACAGTCGACGAAAGCGATCTCTTAGACGAACATCAGTGTGCAATGAAAGATAATAGCACATGGACAGACGGACGCACAAAAACCCACGAATTCATTTATTTTCGGTGTTACTGAAAAGACATCCATCCAACATCAACTAGTACAGCCTTGCTCAGATAAATTTGGTTAAAAAGTCTGTCAACTAAAGCAAACATTTGTTTTAAAAATCTTTTCCTAACCTATACATATTAATCTGAAGGCTTCACATACAAATCCTTGCAAATAGTTTCTTAACATTGTCGTCATATTGAAGAAAAACACTATTTTTTGGTTGTTTGATAAGGTATGCTAGGCTTGGATCGCAAGAGGGAAGTCAGTTCACAAAATAAAATTATTGTCTGGTATAAGTTTTCTTGAGGCAAACCTGAACTAAGCAAGAAAGATAGAGTGAGAAATATAATATGATATACTTCACATTTCACAATTCAATTATGCAGTGATCCCCACCCACAGGTTAAATGAAGCATGTGAATATGTTGGATACTGATAGTGAAGTTGTTTAGGGTTTTATGAACTTGACGAAATCCGGTAAAATAAAATAGTATCATGTTTTCCAACTCAATTTCCTACTCCTGTTCTGCTAAAAATAGTTATTATTATACTAGGTTAACGGATTTTAGAAGTTTGTAATATGGAAACAATCTACGCGTAAGGAAAGTTTTTATCATTGAAGACGAAATTTTTAAAATGAATTACCATTACCTTTGACTGATAATCCGGACACATTAACTTCCCCTTAGCCACAAAACTCATTACATCACACAGAGAGAAGTATGTCAATATCTAGCTCACACAAGTAGAGAAACCGTAACAATTACCAGATATTCCACAGATGATATTGAAGTTGGAGAATATTTAGAACCCTAGAAAAGTCATACAACCTGTTATTAGAGAACAAATTCTCTATACAGTAATTTTTACTGTTCCTTAAAGCCAGAGCGTGTCCGTTATCTACTCAGATAACTATATAGCACAATTAAAGATAATAACAGCTTATCTTATTTTTGTCTGTTCGATTTGAATCGTCTGCATCATTTACCTTGTTCAATAAACTCTGTCTTTTTAGACGCACCCAGGCAACAGTTAAGACGACAGTCAAAAAATAATAATTCCATACTAACAGTTTATTTTAATTTGCAAAACATTTCTCTGAAGAACAACAGACGTTATACAAATTTCATACTCTGAGATAAATACATTACACAAATATTTAGGTTGTAGTACAGATAATGAAGGTAGAGTTGAGGAAGTTCAACTTTTCTAGCATTGTGAGTTTCTTTCCTGTCGACGGCAGTTAACTTTTAAACTAGCATACAATGGAGATATAGAAATTAGGCTCAGAATTTGGAAACGCCATTCATATCATTCAGTTTGTGTTGTGTGCATATTTACCCTCAAACCCCCATAAAAACTGCTAAAAAAATGAGCTCAAGGAGAATAAAAGTGTTGTACGTTAATACTCAAATATGTTACACGAGTAGCAAAATGATTCGAATAGATTCTAGTTTATCATAAATAAATGCAGTATTTAAATAAATGAGACTTAATCCTTACTCCGAACAGAATTGCAGTACTTCATTGATAACAGTTAGAACAATCTTCATAAAATTAGTGGTCGGATAGATTCCGATCAAAATTTTTGAAGCCAATAAAGCCACTTGCAAATATTTAAAGAATTAGTCAAACATAGTTCATATTAAGTGCATATTAATGTTCAAATACCAGAAAAAACAGAATGTCTTGAAAATTTGGTTTCCTACTGAAGAGGACATTTTTTAACTGTCTGAAGCAGACTGTTTTCAGCTGACATAATAAAAAGTTTACAATCAACAAAATGTATACTGTAAAAGAATATTAGGTTCTAAACATAAGAATTAAAACGCCACCGAACCATCCTACCGAAGTTAATTTGAAATCTATCAACATACATAATAAATTCCACAGATAAGAAAAATAAACCGATTACAATTATGCCAAATTATCCATTAGCGAAAAATCCATGAGGATTCAGGTCATTGAAAGGTTCAAAAAATTTAGAAAATACCCCCCTTTTCCAAAAACTCAACTAAAATTAATTCTGCATAATCTATTTACTGTGGAATACATATATAAAACTGATTCGACCAAATATTTTTAGACTTACGAGCATTTATTACATTTAAAGCATCCCCGATGAAATGAAAAGTTGAGTGCAGTAACAACTTCGCCAGTAAGTTCTTCTGAGCAAATTTTGCACTTCGCAACAAAATAACGTTGATAATCATCTTGACAGTAAAATCCGCCATCTTTCATAAAAAATCCACCATGTTCAAGGCTTTTATTACATTCTAGAGAATGTTTTATTAGTTGTAAGATCCTTACTTGTGCATTTAAAGCAGTCTTTATGAAAATATTTATCGGCCACTCGTAGTACGTCGCCACGACATTTGCGACGACAATTCTCACAATAAATTTTCCCTTTAATATAGAAGAAACCAATTATCCCCAAGCTAAGAATCTTACCCATTTCCAAACATTATCTAATTATATCAAACCACATGAGTGATTTCAAATAAAACTTTCAAGTAGACCTCAAAAATTTTACATGTAATTAGCACAGTAAAACATGTCCAAGAAACAGTGAATCTGCAAAGTGCTTCCTCAGTTTTTATAAATGACAAGTCAAAGATTTACGAAAATTTGACAATTTTAAGGGACTTAATCTTTAATGCAGTTAGCGATTTCTATTTCTATTTCTATAAAGAACAACCAGTTTGGATACGAAATTCTTTACACTCTCTAACTGGAAAATATCTATTTTTGAGTTATCTGCCTGTGAAACCTGATATCTATAGCTTATGAATCTAATTCAACCACACCAAGTCTGTGCATAGTAAGTCCAGCTGTCTCGAACAGTTGACAAAGCTTCATGTGCTACTTCCTCACTCCATCAGATGAACAAGATTTGTTAGTGTAGCGGTAAATAATTCCCCAAAATTATTGACCACAGCAATCACTCATTGGATGCTGACCACCACTGTTTAAGTCGACTTGTTTAGCTGAAGGCTTCCGGTCAAGCATCCCCGCCATTTGGTACCCCGTCGTGTCACGCGCACGATCACTAGCTAGCTAAGAGTTCGTCTGACGGCTTGTTTTGGTCCTGAAATATATCACGAAGTTTGGACGATCAATTATTGGCGTTTGCTTTGTTTTCGGTACGCGCGAACTAATAAATTAGAGGCGGTGTAAGGTAATTCCGCCAACCCTCTAAATTAGTCTGATACGTGACCGACGTAAAGCCGGATAACCTGAAAGTTCTGGGTAAAGTCAGGAAAACTTTTCTTTTCCACATCAGTCATCTTAATGTCCTATTGACCAGCAAATCTCCTTGTCAATGGGGTGAAGATTGAACGATCAATTCTTGGTTGTTTGCTCAAAATCAGCTTCCCCAATTTTCGCGGAGGCATCAATAAGACAGTCATCGTCTCAACGGTCGCTGTTCAGAAAGAAGAGTAAAACATCGTCAGAAGTAATCTTATGATTTATTATTGTAATATTTGTTCACAGATCTTAGTCAAAAACCTGGGTCAAAGAAGGGACAGAGTGTCTTGGATGCAAACAGGAAAGTAAGTCATGGTGACTTGTCTGTCACTTATAACGATGTGTCTGATGTTAAGCATGACATGGTTGATGTTACTGTTTCGCCGTTCAGGGATAATAGGAACATCAAACTCCCTAAATTTGAACCACGATGTTTTAAAAGAAACCCAGCTGATTATTTACAATTTGTAAAGGAGTTTGAGATCATGCTGAGTGGTTTTTCATTAACTGATGAATTGAAGTTAATGTATTTGATGAGATATTGCACTGGAGATGCTTCAAGAGCTATACAGTGCTGTAAGTTTATGAAGCCGAAAGAGGGCTACGATGAGGCTATGAGCATATTACGTCAAAGGTTTGGAAGACCTTCAATGATTGTAAGGAACGTATACGAAGCTGTCAAAGGTAACGGCAGTCAACTTCAAGATGACCCCAAGGCACTTACTGAGTTTTTAGATAATCTTATGACTTATAAGAATACCTTGATTTCTATGAATCGCATGAATGACCTCAACTCGAGTTTTATACTAGAAGTAATAGCGAGACGCCTACCTACTCGACTGCAAAGGAAGTGGGTAAAGATAAACTCCCGTATGGAGGATGAGGGTATCGAGCCAAAATTTGATGATATCCTGAAACTAGTAAAAGATAGCGTCAGTCAATCGATGAGCAAGTTTGCCAGTATATTGAATCTCACCCCTGGAATAGAGTAGTCTGAGAGCGAAATGCAATCATTGATGACGAGTAGGCCTCAGAGAGGTGGATATCGAGTAGGCTCCATGATGTATAGTAATGCATATGGACCTAGTGAGTGTAACAGGTTTCGTAGTACATCCTCAACTGATAGGTTACAAGATGCAAGACAAACACGGTTGTGGTTTACACGTGTGCAAGTTGTGCATACAGAAGTGAACTGTGAACCAGTAAGCAGGTTCAGTGATAAGCTGAATGTAAACTCCAGGCCTGACTCCGAATTGTGTGACGATAACGGTGCGGTGAAGAAGTCTGTAGTTGCAACTGGTAAGCCATTGTTGGATAGAGTGTCACAGAATAGAGTTACTGCTTCAGAGTGCAGTTCTGACTCCACAAGCTTACAAGGTATTACTAGTCAGAGTGAAGGTTTAAAATCTTTAGGGAATTGTGAGGATGAACCTAAATCATCTACTGCTGTTATTAAAGAGTTTGAAAATGATGAAGTTGACGGTAAATTGAATATTTGTGATAATGATCATGATAGTGCAGATTTGTCTTTGGTTGATCATGATGAGATGAGGGATATGCCTACTACTGCTAAGTTAATTAAAAGTTCTGTACAACTACAACGTGAAGTAGAATTGAACGCAGATGCAGTTCCAAAAGGTGTGCATACTTGTGAGACAGTCAGTGTCAATGGAGTTGAAGATTGAGCGATCAATTCTTGGTTGTTTGCTCAAAATCAACTTCCCCAATTTTCGCGGAGGCATCAATACGACAGTCATCGTCTCATCGGTCGCTGTTCAGAAAGAAGATTGAAACATCGTCAGAAGTAATACAGAGATTTATTATTGTAATATTTGTTCATAGGCCTTAGTCATACTTGATTTATATGTTGGTGTAACAATACAGAATACTCAAGTCAACAATTGGTGTTTTGGTTTTCTCGTCCGTTATTACTAAGCGTTTCTGAGAAACTTCAAGCGACAGCGTGAGCCCGAGCGTCGCAAGAGCTGGGCATTAACGGTTTATGAGACGTGACTGACAGTTTCTGACGATAGAAACAGATTCTGGTGAATTCAAACAGTTGGTGAAAGTTCGGATAGTCGCCGTTCATTTTTCCTGGTGCCGGTCAGGTCCTCTTTGATCAAGCAATATCTGGAACCTTTTTAGAATTGGGTCAAGTTCAGCAATGCCTGGGTCAAAGAAGGGACAGAGTGTCTTGGATGCAAACAGGAAAGTAAGTCATGGTGACTTGTCTGTTACTTGTAACGATGTGTCTGATGTTAAGCATGACATGGTTGATGTTACTGTTTCGCCGTTCAGGGATAATAGGAACATCAAACTCCCTAAATTTGAACCACGGTGTTTTGATGGGAACCCAGCTGATTATTTACAATTTCTAAATTAATGCATTTATTAGTGATACTTGCACTTACCATTTCATTACACTTTAATGATTCACCTTAGCTCTTTTACTTTTCTAAAAACAGCTTTCAATCCGTTGTAAACGTTGTACTTACCTCAATATTCGTTGGTTATCGTATGCCGACAACCACGGGATGAAAACGAAACGAAGTCGATTTTCCCGCTCAACCTAGAGGACAATTGTACAATTCAATAACTATACGGCCTGGTTCAGACAATGAGTGTAATTATGTATATATATATCAAATATTTAACTGTTGAAACATTATTAACTTGTAGACAATCTATGATTTGATATTATGTCATACTTGATCGTGCCTGTAAAATGGCATGCATTTTCATGTAAATTTATATGTTTATATGAGAATATGTATATTATATTAATATTAATTTGTAAAGGAGTTTGAGATCAGGTTGAGTAGTTTTCTATTAAGTGATGAATTGAAATTGATGTATTTGATGAGGTATTGCACTGGAGATGCTTCAAGAGCTATACAGTGCTGTAAGCTCATGAAGCCTAATGAGGGATACGCTGAGGCTATGAGCATATTACGTCAAAGGTTTGGAAGACCTTCGATGATTGTAAGGAACGTATACGAAGCTGTCAAAGGTAATGGCAGTCAACTTCAAGATGACTCCAAGGCACTTACTGAGTTTTTAGATAATCTTATGACTTATAAGAATACCTTGATTTCTATGAATTGCATGAGTGACCTCAACTCCAGCTCAGTCCTAGAGGTAATTGCAAGACGCCTACCTACGCGGCTGCAAAGGAAATGGGTAAAAATAAGCTCTCGTATAGAGGAGGAGGGTATCGAGCCAAGGTTTGATGATATTCTTAGACTGGTGAAGGACAGTGTCAACCAGGCGATGGGCAAATTCGCCAGCATTTTGCATTCTAAGGTAGAACCTAAGGAACCAGTGAATATAAGGAAGGCATTTGTGGTGAAGTCTCAAGACACAACGAGAAAGGATGAGTGTATTGTCTGCCATAACATGCATCAATTGAGTGATTGTAATCGCTTTATCGCTATGTCACCCGTAGAAAGGTTAAAAATGGCAAAGCAGAAGCGGCTGTGTTTCAGTTGTTTAAAGATTGGGCATACAAAGTGGAATTGTAAGGCGACAAATAAAAGAAGTAGTGGTTTAACGGATATGCACCCACTTCTGAGAACAGTGAACGAACCTGGGAGTTCGGTTAATTGTAATAGTATCTCTAGACCCCTTGACATCCCACAAGTTTTCTTAGGGGTATTACCAGTTAAGGTGAAAGGACCGAAATCTTCAGTAGAGACTTATGCATTGTTGGATAATGGTTCAGACGTTACATTGATAGATGCTGAACTGGCTGGTTGCTTGGGTATTAAAGGCCCAAAGCAACCCTTGGTTGTAAATACTTTCAATTCTGCGAAAACAGTAGTATGTGAGCGAGTGTCATTTCAGTTAGAATCCTTGGCTACTGGGGAGACCGTGGAAGTGGATACTGCTTACACTACCTCCAGTATGAAACTTGGCGAAGCTATAGTACCTAGTCGTGAAACGGTTGTCGGTAAGCCATACCTGTGTGACATACCTCTTCCAACATTGCAAGATGGAAGAGTGAGAGTACTCATTGGATGTAGTGTGCCAGAAGCTCACAAGGTATTAGAAGAGAGATTTGGAGGTAGAGATGATCTGTTTGCGACGAAAACACCACTGGGATGGACAGTGAGAGGACCTATACCCATAGTCCACATATCATCATTAGTTACAAACGATGGGGACAAACTAGAAACTATGATTAAAAATATGTATGACAAGGAGTTTTGTGACTGCGGTGTCCCAGGGAAGGGTCGTTCTGTAGAAGACTTAAAAGCAGTTAAAATAGCCGAGGACTCTTGTAAATACGAAAACGGGCGTTTCAGCGTTGGCCTACCAT